GGATAAAACTTTTTTTTTTCATTATCGTTAAGTAAATAGGGAGAAAATGTTTAAAAATGCATTTATCTGTTGGGTGTGTCAGACATGGGTTCATGTTTTTGTAGTGTCTCGTGATGGGTTTACAGTCTGTGTTTAAAAGCAGTTGTTCTGAGCTGTGTCACAAACATTACGGTTTTTGCGCATGACTTTGGGTGTGACCGGCCTGTCGCTCTGTGACTGCTGGGATGTCCTGCATCTCCCCCGCGACCCTGAATTGGGTAAGTGGAAAAGGTTGATTTGATGGATGATTGATGGATGATGATGATTCTTTTCTTTTTCAGCCCTTCTGCTGTACATTCACTGCTGTGCTGTCATGTTGCATGACCCAGTTTTAGCAAAGCTTTGGCCGCCAGACGGATAGCCTTGTAGTTGACTCTAGAATACTGTGGCATTGAGAGGAATTGACTAAATCTCTGTCAGCAGGTTACCCGGGTCCTGCAGCTACAGAACATGCCCGGATCATCATCCCTCCACCGCCGTGCTTGATATTTGATGAGAGGTGTTTGTGCTGATATGTTGCATCTGTTTTTCACCAAACACTGCACTGTGCATTATAACCACACACTTTTGTTCAGATGCAACTTTGCAAATCTAAAGTGTGGCGTCATGCCCTCCTTAAAGAGAAGAGGCTTTCTCTTCTGTGATGAACTACTGTCCTGGACTTCATCATTTATCATGCTGACTGAGGCAGGTAGAGTCTGAGATGCTGGTCTTGGGTTTTTTTTTTTGTTTGTTTTTGTTTTACAATTTCCCTGAGCATCACAGAGTCTGACTTTCGAGTGAATTTGAAGTGATACACATTCCTGGCAAGACTGTAGCATCGTCACACACCTGAATGTTCCAGATCACACTGATCAAATGCTAGCAGCACCTGCCTGCTACTTACACTCTTAATTCCTATGGAGGGAGTAACTGTGCATTTAGATTTTCATTAGGCAGCCTGGAGTCCTGTGAAAACCCTTTCACGTGACTAAATCGTGAGTGAAAAGTACCCAGTCAACAAGGAGAAAATTTCTGAAAACCGGAAACAAAACAAGGCTTCTCTTCAGACACATTTTTATTATTTTTTTTACAGTTAAAGTCATTTCTAAAGCAAATAACCTGATCTTCTTGCCTTACTATATGAACCTAAGAAATGATGATAGATAAATGACTCCCATACCTTTTTAGATTGCTCTTTGACACCTTTATGATCATTTCACTTGATTGCAATCATTTAGAAACTGTGCAGTAGACGCTTCATTTTGGCCAGAGGGTTTGAGTAAGCAATTTACTCAAGGGGCCACAAATCCAAGTGTTATATGCTGACTAATCTAGAACTTCAATTCTGAATGCCTTACAATTTACTTTTCATTTTGTAGAACTCCGTCACAATAAGGCACAAATGCCAGGATCCTGAAACATTAGAAACATACCTTTTGGCGCCTTCTTAAATCTCCCCTCTATATCATAAAGGTCAGTTTAATTTTAACCCAGGTCCAGTCATGGTTATTAAATGCCGATTAAAAACAGATACATAGCACTCACAGATCCACTCATACTTTGAGTCGATATTAACAGCACAAAACATTTTTAAAATCTAGGTGATTATAATAGCAATGAACTCCTTTCTATTTATATCTCATTCTTATCCCAGTTTTCAACATTTGATAAACAGGACATAAAACAATTAGAAATGATCCATCCTTGGTATAAATATTAAATTGAATAATTTAAGCCCAGCATTTCTTTTCAGTAGATTCTTACACACAAGACCCCAAAGCACAAAAGAAAACTACCGTAGCTCGTGTAGGTTTTTGACTTTTTATTCGCTTGATCATTTTCTCCAACCCAAAGACAATACACAGCATAAATTGAAAATATCCCATTTAATAGTTTACAACTCTTCATCTTTAGTCATCCTTTTATATTTTCAGTCTGACATTCACACTCACCTTGAAGCCACAGAACTGTGATAACAGTTCATACGAGTCAACAGTGAACCTCATGCCTTCACCCTCCCCCAACTAATCAGATACAGTTTTGTTTTCAGTCAGGGCAGGTCAGGAGTTCGGGTGTGTGCGTGTACAGATTCGGTTTTCAAAATACAGCAGATGCATTTTTATTTATTTATTTATTTTTTTAAATTCAACAGGGGAAGTTCATGAACGTGGTGGCAATTCAGACGCTTTCCCAAGCCCTTTGCACACTGAATTCACCCAACAAAAGAAAAAAAAAAAAAAAAAAAAAGCAATAATCAATAAACCAAATAACAGATGCTTTAAAAACATCGAAAGCAATGTGAGCACTATTTCAACAACTCCTTATTGTACATGTTAGTACTGACCCATGAAGGTGGTGTGACAGATTTGTATAATTGGAACTTTTCTAGCACTTCAAAAAGAGTCTTAGATCGAGAGTAGAAATGGTGTTATTTACACTGGTTTTCACATGCAGCTCAGAAGCTGAAAGCAATTGCAGCCACAAATCATGTCCTATGTAGACAGAAGACATGTCACACACCATCACATCCTCTCGGGCATGACTCTTTCTTTCTTTCTCTCTCACACACACACACACACAC